ATGGGCAACATCGTTCGACGGCAAATTATGGTATATGTGTGAAAGGCTCGAGTTACTGTGCTTCGGATGATGAACCAGATTTCCATGGCATTCTTCAGCAAATTTTCCAAGTACAATATCCGGGTCATATTGGACTCAAAGTGATGATTTTCATATGTGACTGGTTTGATCCGAAGCCGGGACGCGGAATACGGATCAACAAATCAGGGATCACTGATATTTGTTACTCCCGTCAATGTAGAAAATACAACCCTTTTATACTGGCATCCCAAGCAGATCAGGTATGTTTTATCCCTTATCCAAGAGATAAAACGCGAAGAAGTGACATCGATTGGAAGGTCGTTATCAAGATTAATCCAAGAGGGACCATTACATATGACAGATCAGTGGAACAAAGCCCGCTACAAGACGAACACACAGTTATAGCTGTCGCGGAAACAATTGATGTGGAGAGGCTAGTAGTGGAACAAGGGATATTTGAAGAACTAGAAATTGGAAACCTCGATGAGGAAGGCGATAGCAGCGAAGACACCAATCCCGAAACAACGGAAACATCATCGTATGGTTCATTTGATTAATTATGTAATGTGTGTGTATTTATTTTTTTTAATTTATTTTTTTTAATTATTTTTCTATTTTGCGACGGATATTATCTGTCCGTATCCGTCGGTATTTTTCCGCCCTTTATTTCTGAAATTTTCGCAAATTTTTTGAAAAATTTAAAACCCATGTGCGACGGACAGAGTCCGTCGTTAAATAAGATAATCCGTCGCTAATGGCCACGTGTTCAAACATTAGCGACGGATGTCGACGGTTAAGTTCCGTCGCAACTTGTAATACATATCGGGATTCCTTTTCTTTCTTCTCCGCCTCGACGCGATAACGGTGACTTCTCTCCCTGCGATTTCCGGTAATCGCTGCGATTTTCGGCCACCCACCGTCCAAGACAACCTGTCCGACACCGTGCGAGGTAAGTCTTTCCTCTCTCCTTCTCTCCCTTGGTGATGATTCGCTGAAGCTTTTCCTTTAGGGTTTCGATGAGATTTGTGCTTTTGTGGATGATTTTCGAAAATTTTCGGCGATGATTCGCTGAAGCTTTTCGCTGAAGCTTTCCCTTGGTGATGATTCGCTGAAGCTTTTCCTTTAGGGTTTCGAATGCCAACTTGTAATACATATCCGAAAATTTTTGGCTTTTGTGGATGATTTTCGGTGAATTATGGAGTGATTTTGTCTGGTTTTGGATTGTTTTTGGTGTTTCGAAATCTGTTTCATCGTTTAGAATAGAGATTTGATGGGTTTTTTTAGGGTTTCAGATTTAGGGTTTCGTTTGGGGTTTAGGGTTTTGTTTGGGGTTTAGGGTTTCTGATTAAGGGTTTCGGTATTAGGGTTTAAATTCGGTATTAGGGTTTCAATTATCAATTTAGGGATTATGGTTTCATTTGGGGTTTAGGGTTTCATTTTTAGGGTTTCAGATTTAGGGTTTCATTTGGGGTTTAGGGTTTCGTTGTTAGGGTTTCAGATTTAGGGTTTCGTTTGGGGTTTAGGGTTCCATTTTTAGGGTTTCAGATTTAGGGTTTCGTTTGGGGTTTAGGGTTTCATTTTTAGGGTTTCAGATTTAGGGTTTTGTTTAGGGTTTAGGGTTTTGTTTGGAGTTTAGGATTTCAGATTTAGGGTTTCATTTGTGGTTTTGGGTTTCATTTTTAGGGTTTCAGATTTAGGGTTTCGTTTGGGCTTTAGGGTTTCGTTTGGAGTTTAGGGTTCTCAATTTAGGGTTTAGGGTTTCAATTCGGGATTAGGGTTTCAATTCTCTTTTATAGGGTTTCAATTATCAAGTTAGATGTTACGATTTACGGTTTAAAGGGTTTAGGGTTTCAATATGTAGATGAGTTAGTCACGTTCCGGGAGTAGATCGGGTAGCGGAGTCCGATCTCGCGGACGAGGATTCGGTGTTTCTAGTCCTTCTACCCCTACTTCTCAGCAGCCCCCAGTACCCACACCTCGTTTGGATCAACCTTTCACGGGTCAATCCACGCAGCAACCTTCACATGAAGGTTGTTCGCGTGATTTATCAGTATCACTCCGAGAAATACTCGCATCCGATGATCGTCGTACGACGAGACCACACCTTAGCCCAAAGCGAACCAACGGTACTTTATGGTAAGGAACATTGTAACAATTCATTTCCATTTTTTATATAAACGTTTACAGTTATATAACTAAGTATATTTATATACTCGCATAGGTTCGGTCGTCATCCCCAGATACGGAAGACAATTGTGAGCACCTTCCAGAGTGATTTTCAGGGTCCTTGGCTCAGTATCACTCGTGTCCCTCCAGCGACTCTGGAACGTTGGTTTTGTGCATTTGCGGTAAGTTTTCAAATTCAAACTATTCTTTTAATTTCATTTATTGTTTTATTAACATCAATTTTTTTATTGCAGCAAGCTTTTTATTGGGAGGAGTGCCACCACGACATGGTTTATGCATGCTGGAAGGAAGTGCTGGCCAACCAACTCCGGGATGCGATCTATCGGTCGGGTCAAAGTCGAAACAAGCCGTTGTGGATGAGCGAGGGTGTTTGGAACCTCCTCCTGACTCACTGGGACTCAGATGATGCAGCAGAGAAGAGTCGGGTCGCCTCAGCCAACCGACGGTCTCGATCTATGGGGAACCGCGCACCACCAACTCATTCTTCAGGACACACCGTCGATCGGACGGTACATATGTGGATGAGCGGGTCCAGCAGATCAAGGAGTTGGTGCAGTCCAAGATCGACGATAGAGTCTCCCAGATGGACGAGAGTACTGCTTCTACACAACTTTCGACAACCAAAGTTAACAGCCTATATCTTGAGGTAAATATTTATAAAATTAATAGTTTTGAATTTTAAAAATATATGATTGTATGTTAATTTTTGGTTTATTGTATAGGTTGTCCATCCGGATGACAAGGGCCGTATCTATGGTGTCGGCACCTTGGCATCCCAACTGGGCGGGGGAGAAACTTCTGCTCTGGCGATTACTCACCATGTCGCGCTAACGCGTAAAGTTGAAGAGTTGAAACGCTCCCAAGAACGGACGACTGCAGAACTGGTTGAGGCCGGGGCGAAATCGGGAGAAGCTACAGAAGCTCTCTGAGACCGAAGCGAGGATCGTACGCTTCGAGGAGAAGATGCAGCGCCTCACACCGTTCATGCTGCCTATATTCGACCAGTACGGCTTTCCGACAACATCTCGGCAGCCAGACGATCCCGAGGACGCACCCGCCAATCTCGGCAATGATACACCGGTTGATCCATAGACATCTTTTTTTTTAATTGTATTATAACTCTTTCTAAATTATTGTATTATACGTTTTTCTGAATTATGAATCTTATTTTGTTTTTAATTAATTCGTTTTGTTTCTAATTTATGAATTTGTTTTTAAAATTAATTTTTATAATATTTAAATTAATTATAAATTTATTTGATTTTTTTAATTACTTTTACAACGTTTGTGACGGATTTAATCGGTCGTAATTCATCGCAGTTCATCGGACAGTAATCCGTCGTTACGTTCGGAAATCAAGAAAGCGACGCATACACGACGGATATATTTCGTCGGTAAAGTTTGCTACGGATCAGTCCGTCGCAATGTGCGACAAACAGAAAAGCGACGGTCTACGACGAACTTCTTATCCGTCGGTAAAATAATGACGGATAACGACTACTGTTTTCCATCGTATTTGTGCGACGGTTAACCGACCGAAACAAATTTGCGACAGCTCCGTACCGACGGATTTGTCCCCGTCGTGATCTGTCGCAATGAAGTTGTCGCGATGGATATTTGTTCGGTGTGCGACGGATATTTCCGTCGCATATGCATTGTATTTTTGTAGTGATAACCTTTTGTTGTCATTGAAATATAAATTAGATTCGTGCATGTGATATTCCAACCAAACCGTTTGGAAGATATTTAAGTTTTGTTGGAAAAACAAACTGGATTTGATCTCTTGTAATTGGGGAAATAGCTGAAATACCTTCCGAGTGCTATGAGGACTTCTGATCCTACCCTCCAAACAAAAAATTAGAAAAAAAAGAGTAAAAAACATAACAAAAGACAAAAAACCCTCATAATATACTAAAAAGACCAAAAAACCTTGCTATAGATTAAAAAAGAATAAAATAAAAATAAAATAATTTAAAAGAGAGAAATGAATCTCTTTCTCTCTCCTCTAGGTCACATATCAACTCTCTCTCTCTCTTCTAAACCATGATCTCCTCCCTATCTCTCCTAATCACGATTCTTCTTCTCTCTGAAAAAATGATGAACTCTCCTCTCTCGTCGATTT